CTGCACCTCCTCCCCCTCCTTCTCCTCCTCCTCCTCCTCCTCCTCCTCCTCCTCCTCCTCCTCCTCCTCATTCGTGGGATAACGGCTGTCCCCTATCTTGCTCCTACACTTCCCTGGTCAACCCGACTCTCCGGGGCATCCTTTCTGGATGGGCTGGTGGGGATACGCGCACCCTCAACAATCACGATTATGCCGCTCTCCCCTTTTTTGGCGACACCGGCACCTCATCCATGCGCCTGCTCACGCCACATCACTACGATGGGGCGGAGCGGGGGCCCTGGAGACGACCCAGCCTCTGGAGGCCGCGTCTTCTGCCCACGCCCCGCCGCCCCTTCCTCCCCCCCCCTCCCTGGCAGCCAGAGTGGGGGCAGCTGCAGGGGCATGGCTCGAGTGATGGGCCGATTTTCTTTCCACCACCACTACCATGTGTAGGAGAGGGAGGAAGGAGGAGGAGGACGACGACGAGGAGGAGGAGGAGGAGGACGACGAGGAGAAGGAGGAGTAGGACGAGGAGGAGGAGGAGAAAGAGAAAGAGATTGAGAAAGTGAAAGAGAAAGAGGAGGAGGAGGAGGAGGACCTCCACATACTCCCTTCTGCCCCGTCCTACCTGTGGCAGTGGTGGCGGAAAGCTGGCCCATCATCGGAGCGCCGATCGCCGATCCTTCGACTCGAGGTGCCGAGCTGTGGCATTGCTCCTTTTCGCTCCCGGCACGCACGCAGGGGGTGGGGCGGCTCGCCTGTGAGCGGAAATCATCCCACGGGCCGCCACGCCGCCGCCGCCGCCGCCGGAGAGGGCCGAGCCGCTGCCGGGCCGAAGGGGGGCCGGCGCGGGGCGGGCCGCGCTGGCCCGTCACTCGTCGCTCCCGCTGTCCTCTGGGAGGAGCGCCTCTCGGCTACACGCAAGAAGCAGAGGCCTCCCAGATGGGGTCGGAATGGATGGGGTCGGAGGATCGCGCCGCATCGCAGGCACATCGGCGACATCGGCGATGCGTCGGCGACGTCGGTGTGGAGAAAGTCGGGCTCCGCATCGAGCCGCATCGGCGATGCATCGGCGATGCGGCGCGATCCTCCGACCCCATCTACTCTGACCCAATCTAGGAGGCCTAGAAGAGTGGCCCTAGGCAAAGGGTGACCTTTGGTGCGCGGACTGAAGGAGCGCAAAGGTGGCCAAGTCCAAGCGCGCAAGCAGCCGCGAAGGCATCGCGCTCAGGTCACTCTGGCGAAAAGTCACTCTTACGCGTAGTCGAAACAAACGTTCGGAGCTCTGGGCGGATTTCTTGTATCGGCGCTGGGCCCCCATCCCCGGCGCGCGGAGCGCGCCAGGGGCGGTGCCCGAGGCGCCGCCGGGTGGTGGTGGTGGTGGTGGTGGTGGTGGTAGTGGTGGTGGTGGTGGTGGTGGTGGTGGTGGTGGTGGTGGTGGTGGTCCAGCGCCGACCCGAGGAACCCGTGCGGACCTCCGAGGGTGTAAGCGTCTGCCGATGCCTCTTGTTTTTATCGTTACTACTGTCAAGATGAACATTAGCAGCACAATGCTACTCGTAGTGGCACTGTGCTCTTTATGGTTCCAAGTATTTTGAATTGTTCTTACGCCCTTTCCCGTTAGTTGTCGCATTACCGTTAAGATTCTCCAAACAGTGCAAACAGTGCTTGCAGTTAGGGGTTCTTGCTCCTTGGGAAAGGAACTGGGCGTGGGGTTCGGTCTGGCGGCTACGTCGTCGCCGTCGCCGCCCGGTCATGGTCCCGTCGCCGCCTTGTCGCCGCCCGTCGTGTGGGCCTGGGGGTCGTCCTGGCGGCTGTATCGTCGCCGTCGCCGCCTCGTCGCCGCCACATAGATTGCACCACATCGGTTGCACCACATAGAGTAGGCAACATATACTTCACAACGTATAGATTATCCGTTTGAAGGTGAATACTGATATCTCGCCCCCGAAGCTGGGATTATCGTCCCATCCTGGGGCTGTGCAATTTACATATGTTTCTGCCCCACCGCTCATTCTAAATATGGACCCGTACCATCCCAACCATGCTGATATCGACCCTGTCCACACAATCTTGTGCAACAAAACACTATGCACGCACATTCGTCCATCAACAATTTTACGTGTTCAAAAACCGTTTGCGAAGAGAAAAGACACGGAGGGCACACGCGCGCGTCGTCGCGAACGCATGCAACAATCTTTCATCAACCTTAGAAGTCGTAGGGATAGTTAACAACATCGAATGCCCCGAAAACATACTAAACCACATGGTTTTGCAACGCCGCTCTTCAACAAAAATATAAGAGTTATAATAATGAATAAACAAGAATAAATAATAATAGTAATAATAATGATAATAATAACGATGATAATGATAATATCAAAAAACGCGCTCAAACGCCTTTGGTTTCGTAGGGATGTCAAGATCGAGTGCCCCATAACACACGGAGAACATACACATGGTGTTACAACATGACTTCTATAAGACAGTCGCGCGCGCTCAGTTTCGAAATTTTCAGACAAGAACCATCAAATTTGCAGCGTTTTCATAGAATGCGACCAATCGGGCCTCTCGCGCGCGCGTCGAAATCAGTCGAACGCCCTTGCGCGCGTGCTGGGAGAGCACGATCCGTGTCAAATGGCACCACGCGGGCCACTCGCGCGCGTCGGCCTCGCGCGCATGTCGAAATCCCCTCCAGAACCTGCATCGCCGACGCGAGCACGCCATCATCATCATCATCATCATCAGCAGCCGCACTAGTATCATCATCATGATCGCCATCATCGGCGTGATCAGCATCGGCACCGCCATTGCCCTTGCCGTCGTCTCGTCACTGTCATCATCGTCACCAGCATCGCTACTAGCACCATCGCGTCTGCCGCTGTCGACGTCGCCACGGTGACGCGCCAGCCCAAGTCGCCAACTCGCGCTGAAGTGCCTGCACGTCAGCGCGGCCTGCGAGACGCGCCGGGAAACCCCCGGGGGCGGGCGCCGACCAGCCGCGCCCGTCGAGCCAAACTTGCGGACCGCTGCGCGCGCAACCCTGCGCGCGCGAGCGCGGCCGCAGCGATGTGCCAGCCAGCGCCAAGCAGCCATTGCAATCGCCCCCCACATGGGTCTTGCAATCCAAGTTGCGGGCGGGCGGGCGAGGAGACTGCGCGAGCAGTGGAGCTGAAAAATCACGTCGGACAACAATTCATTGCGCCGCATGGATGGCACCGCGCGCAGTGCATCCCCCCCCCCCCCGGATTTAACTGCCCCCCTCTTCGCATTGCAATTTACGCGCGATTATGTCACGTCGCCCCTGCGAGCTATGAGTTCATAGCGCGCCGGCCAGGCTGGCAACGCTTCCTCGCTCATCCTCTGCGCCCCAAAAAAAAACGCGAGCGCGCTCGTCTATCAAACGGCATAGGTTGTCAAGAACCCCTTCCCACAAATTGGACGAAATCCACGCGCGCGCGTCGTCGCGCGCGCGTGCCGAAGCCCTTCCAACACTTCAGGTTTCGACTGAATTTCAAACATCGAACGCCCCGAAGACATATACAAACACATGGTTCCGCAACGAGACTTCAAAACAAATTGCGCCCCCGCTCGCGCGAATTCTTCCGACGACCGCCAGTTGCTCAGCATTCTCATAAAATGCTACCAGCTGGGCCCCTCAAGCGCGCGTCGAAATCGCTCGAACGCCCTCGCGCGCACGCTGTCGCGAGAATCTCTTGCTACAGATGGGGCGAAGTGCGCGCGCGTCGCGCGCGTGCTATCTCCATATAGCTACGCGAAAACAACTACACATCTAAAGCCCGAAAACGTTTTAAACGCACATGGTCTTGCAACATAATCCCCCCAACAAAAAAGCGCTCGCGCTCTTGCGGACGCAATGGGCAACGTTTTTTTACCTAACAGCTCTTGCTGATAGGTTTCTAGTGGTCTCAAAAGAGAGCATCATGACTCCTCAGGGGGGTCTGGGCGGGACCCGGGGAGGCTGCCGCCGAAGCCGAAATCGCTTGGGACATCCTCGCAAAATCGCTTTTGGTGCTCCCAGAACTCCATTCCCGGGCCACATTTTGGATGCCCGGAGCCAACTGTAGGCCACTTCGTGCTCTTCGACTTCCCAGAACTCCATTCCCGGGCCACATTTTGGATGCCCGGAGCCAACTGTAGGCCACTTCGTGCTCTTCGATTTCCCAGAACTCCATTCCCGGGCCACATTTTGGATGCCCGGAGCCAACTGTAGGCCACTTCGTGCTCTTCAAGTTCCCAGAACTCCATTCCTGGGCATGATTTTGAATGCCCGGAGCCAACTGTAGGCCACTTCGTGTTCTTCGAGTTCCCAGAACTCCATTCCTGGGCCACATTTTGAATGCTGAGGCAGGCTGATGCTGCGGCCGAGGCAGGCTGAGGCTGAGGCAGGCTGAGGCTGAGGCCGAGGCTGAAGGCAGACTGAGGCTGAGGCTGAAGCAGGCTGAGGCTGAGGCTGAGGCAGGCTGAGGCTGAGGCTGAGGCAGGCTGATGCTGAGGCAGGCTGAGGCTGAGGCTGAGGCTGATGCAGGCTGAGGCTGAGGCAGGCTGAGGCTGAGGCCGAGGCTGAAGGCAGACTGAGGCTGAGGCTGAAGCAGGCTGAGGCTGAGGCTGAGGCAGGCTGAGGCTGAGGCAGGCTGAGGCTGAGGCTGAGGCAGGCTGAGGCTGAGGCTGTGACTGCGACTGCCGTTGCCGCTGCGACTATCATCGCGAATGCGACTACGACTGCGAGAACAGCAGAACTCTACAACTGGATTTTCATCTGAATCTTCAGGGGAATGCTTTCAGATATGCTTCTACACATCGCTGTTCGGTTGCTTTGCCGGGATATGTTTTTCAGCATTGTCATTCCATTCGGCAAAATGGCCCTCTCGCGCCGCATGTCGACATCCTTCGAACGCCCTTGCGCGCGTCCTGTCCGGCGCCGCCGAGGCGGCCGGCCGCTGCGCGCGCGAGAATGCGCGGGCTAGCGCGGCCGCAGATGCACCAGCCGGCATCGAGCACTCATCCCCATCGCCGTCGCATGAACCTTGCAAACCAAATTGCGGGCGGGCGGGCAGGATGTTTGCAGGGGCATGGAACTGTCAACTCGCTCGTAAAAGCCAATTATCTTTCCTGGGGGGGCCGGCATCGAACCCCCCCGCCTTCCTTTGCAAAAAATCTTATGCGCGCGCACTCGCTCATCAAAAACCATCAGTTGTCAACAATCCCCTGCAACACATGCGACGAAGTGCACACGCGCGCGTCGTCGCGCGCGCACGCTGAAATCCTTCAGTAACCGATGGTTTCGCATGGATTTTAAAATCGAGGAGGGGGGGGAGGGGGAACAAAAAAAACTCGCGCGCGCTCGCGCGCATTCTTCGGAAACCCAAAAATTCAACATGTGCAGAAAATGCCGCCAAAGAGGCTTCGCAGGCGCGCATGTCGAAATCGCGCGAACGCCCTTGCGCGCGCGCCGTCGCGGAAATCTCGCACACACAAAAAAGAGGCGCACCCGCGCGCGTCGCTGCGAGCGGGCGCCGAAATCAATCAAAGACCTGCGGTTTCGCAAGGACTTCAAATCCGAGTGCCCAAACCGATTTTCTTGCCATTAAAAACCGTTTCGCAACATCAGTTTTCAAAGAAGCCCGCGCTCGCGTTCTGGCAACTTGCGGAAGAAAAACACTTATTCTCAACGTGGTCATTGAATTCTGCCAAACGGGCCTCTCGCGCCGCACGCCGAAATCATTCGAACGCCCTCGCGCGCGCTGGGGGGGCACGATCCGCGCCAAATAATACCGCGCGGCTACGCTCGCGCGTCGGCCGCGCGCGCGTGTCGAACTCCTTTAAGAACCTTCATCACTGACGCGAAGACGCCGTCATCGTCGCCGGCGCGATCGGCATCAGCGCCACCGCTGGCCTTGCCGTCGTCATCGCCACCTTCGCCCCCATCGCTACTCTCATAATCGTGTATACCGTTGTCGGCGCTGCCATGATACCGCGCCCGCCGACGTCACCGACTCGCACTGGAAGTGCCCGCGGGGAAATGCCAAGCGGCCAGCGCCACGGCGGCCGCGTCGGTCGCGCCAAACTAGCCGGCCGTTGCGCGCGCGAGCACGCGCGGCTGCACTGATGCACCAGCCAACGCCAAGCACTCATGGCAATCGCCCCCTCAAGGGTTCTGCAAACCTAATTGCGGGCGGGCGGGCGGGATGTTTCCATGGGCGCGGGGGGGGGTTTAGCGCGGGGCAAGGTAGTCAATTGCACCGCATAGTCTGCGCAACATGCATTGCCCCACCTAGACTGCACAACTACAACATATAGCGCACAACATGCGTCATCATGTCATTATCCATGCATGAGTATATGTATATATATATATATGTATATATGTACAGCGAACGAGAGAGAAGGAGAGAGTGAGAGAGAGAGAGAAATAAATCTATATATAGAGAGAGAAAGAAAGAGAGGGGGAGAAAGAGAGAGAAAGAGAGAGACAAAGAGAGAGAGAGAGACAAAAAAGAGAGGGTGAGAGAGAGAGAGGAAGAGAGAGAGAGAGATAGAGAGAGAGAGAGAAAGAAAGAAAGAAAGAGAGAGAGAGAGAAAGAGAGAGAGAGGAGCATAACCCCAAAAACGAGGGAGAGAGAGAGAGAGAGAGAACAAAAAAAAAGAGTTGAGTTGATCCACCCCCCAGGATTATCCGCCGTTGCTTCAGCTACATAAGTTACCCATGGTTCTGCCCCATCGCACATTCGAACGATGAATTCAGACCGCCCCAATCAGGCCGGAACGGGCCCCCGCGCCCCACCCCGCGCCATCCCCGGCCAAAAAAAAATGCGCGCACACTCGTTTAGCACAGATCGCACATATCCAGACACCAAATGCCAAACCGAAAAACGAAATTCACGCGCGCGCGCGTCGGTGTCCGCGCGCGCCCGTATCCCTCAGAAGCCCGAGGCGTCGCGCGGACGTCAAATCGAGCGCCCCGAAACACCTGAAATGTAAATGGCGCCGCAGCGCTGGCGCTCAGAAAAAATGCCGCGCGCGCTCTTTCGAATTCTTGTGAAAACGAACGGTTCTATAACATGTCCAACGAACGCCACCAATCGTTCTTCTCGCGCGCGCCTGTCAAAATTGTTCGGACGCCCTTGCGCGCGCGCTGGGGGGTGCGACCCTTGCCAAATAAAATCTCGCGGGCCATTCGCGCGCGTCGGCGCGCGCGCGCGCGCCGAAATCCCCTTTCAAGACCTTGATTCCGGACGCGTGGGCGCCATCGGCGGCGTCGGCGCGATCGGCGCCGGCGCCGTCATTACCCCCGCCGTCGTCACTGGCATCATCGCCACTGCCACCAATTCAGTCATCGTCGCTTCTGCCAGTGTCAACGTCGCCGTGATACCGCGCCCGCCGAACGCACAGACTCGCAATGAAATGCCCGCGCGTCTGCGCGGCCTGCGAGATGCGCCGGGGCACCCCCAGCGTTCGGCGCCACCTCGGCCGCGTCGGTCACGCCAAACTAGCTCGCCGCTCTGCGTTCGAGCCCGCGCGCGCCAGCGCGGCCGCGGCGACGCGCCAAACGGCGCCGAGCAGTCATCGCAATCGCCGCCGCGAAGGTTTCGCCGACCAAGTTGCGGGCAGGCGGGCAGGTGGGATGATTGCGCGAGAAGTGGGATTGACAACTCACTGCGGGCAGGAATTCATTTCCTTTCTGAAGCAATATCGGGATCGACCTCCCACCCCCGAATTTAAGGTGCCATCTTTTCTACGCATTGCTTCGCGCGCGATTCTACGCATTCGCCCATCCTGGATGCGATCGGTCATCGATTCCCCCGCCCCCCCCCTCCTCCGCAAAATAACGCTATGCGCGCGCGTTTGTGTAGCACCAATATCACTGGTCAAGAACCCCACTGCGAAACATGCGGCGAAGCGCGCGCGTCGTCGCACGCGCATGCCGAAATCGGTCATAACAGAGTGCCCCGAAAACATTCAAAACATAGTTTCGCAAAAAAGGATGTTAAACAAAACCTGCTTTCGCTTTCAGCAACGCCTTGGAAATACATTGGTGCTCAGCATTTCCATGTAGCGCGACCAAACCGACCTCTGGCGCTTACATCGAAATCATTCGAGCGCCTTCGCGCGCGTGCTGTCGCAAGAACGCCTTGCAAGAGATGAGACGGAGTGCACGCGCGCGTCGCCGCGCGCGCATGCCCAGCCCTTCCATAACCTGAAGTTTCGCGAGAATGTTACCATTGAGTGTGCCGAAAAACAGGTTAAACATGCTTCGCGCGACCCGTATCATATAATGCAATGCGGACCACCCGCGCGCGCTGGCCGCGCATGTCAAAATCCTTCCAGGATTTCCATCACCGGCGTGAGGAGACCGCCTTTGTCATCGGAGTGATCAACATCGGCGCCGTCATCGCCCTTGCCGTCGTCATTGTCACCATCGTCACCAGCATCGCTACTATAATCATCGTGTTTGCCGCTGCCGACGTCGCCATGATACCGCGCACGCGCGAATCACCGACTCGCACTGAAGTGCCCGCGCGTCACCGTGGCCTGCAAGACGTGCTGGGAAGTCCCCAGCGATCAGCGCCACCGCGGCCGCATCGGTCGCGTCAGACTAGCTGGGCGCTTTGCGGGCGAGCCTATGCGATAGCGCGGCCGCGGCAATGCGCCAGCAAGCGCCGAGCAGTCATCGCAATCGCCGCCGCATTGGTTTTGCAAACCAAGTGGCGGGTGGGTGAATGAAACGATTACGCGAGCAGTGCAGTTCACAACCTCAAGATCGGCAGGGCGAATTGCACCACATAGATTGCTCCACATAGCTTGTACAGCATAAGGAGATTGCTGGACACACATTTTTGGGGGCCGCTGGCGAACCTTCTTCTTATCATTGTTTTTTCTGGTTATTATTCGACCGTCCTCCGCTCGCACGGCCCGCACGAGCTCCGCCGCCAGGCTCCTCGCAAGGGCGCCCACGGTCTCCTCCATCCGCGCGGCGCGGCCGCGCTTGGCGCCGCGCCGCTCCAGATCGGGCGGCGCCCGCTCGCGGCGGCCGTCCTGGCCCCCCCGCCGGCGCCGCCGCCCCTCGCGCCGGCGCCACCGCCGCCGCCGCCTCGGCCGCCTCCGCCGCCGCCGCCGCCGCCGCCGCCGCCGTCGTCGTCGTCGTCGTCGTCGTCGTCGTCGTCGTCGTCGTCGTCGTCGTCGTCGTCGTCGTCATCGTCGTCGTCGTCGTCGTCGTCGTCGTCGCCGCCGACATCGTCGTCGTCGCCGGCGTCGTCGTCGCGGGCGGCGTCCTGGGCGGCGGGGGCGGCCCCGGTCGGCGCCGCCGCGGCGGCGCCCGCGGGCGGCGCGGGGTCGTCGCCGATGCCGATGCCGAAGTCCTCGGGCAGCAGCTGCTGCGAGGCCTCGCCGCCGAGGGCGGAGCTGCCGCCAGGGTCGCCGAGGCGCGTGGCCAGGCGGCGGAAGGCGCCCTCGGCCAGGGTGACGGCCAAGCCCCCGTTGTGCTGGCCCACCTCGTGGCCGTGCCTTCGCCGTATGTGGTCCGCGAGCTGAGCCCCGAGGCCGGGCGCGAAGCGGAGCTTGAAGCGGTCCGCGGCCGCGTTCTCGCAGATCTCGGCGAGCTGCTCGGGGCTGTAGTCCTGGAGCTGCAGGTGCATGGCGAAGCGCCGCCTCAGCCCTGGGTCCGAGTCCATCAGCACGTCCATCTTGTCAGCGTAGCCCGCCAACACCACCAGCAGTCCTGTGCGATGGTTCTCCACCTCCGTCAGGAGGGTTCGGACCACCTCGCCGCTGAACTTGTCGCCGCCCCGGTCCATGAGGGCATAGGCCTCGTCAATGAAGAGGCACCCGCCCATGGCGTCGCGCACAGCCTCGACTACTGTTGGCGCCGTCTGGCCCACGAACTGCCCTTTCAGCGCAAGCGCATTGCGCTCCACGAAGGTGTCGCGGGGCAGCACGCCATGGGCGTAGAGGAATCTGCCGATGAGGCGGGCCACGGTGGTCTTCCCCGTGCCTGGATTCCCCGTCAGACGCAGGTTGAGGCTGGTCTGCAGCACCCTCGGGTCCCCGCCTCGCTCCACGAACGAGACCGTGCGGGACATCTCCTGGAAGAAGGCCTTGACGTTATCCATGCCGGTGAGCTTCTCGACCTGCAGCCGCACCGCCCTCCGGAGCTCTGGGTCGCCCAGCGTGGGCCTCTCCTCGATGCCGAAGTCGGCCGCGGTGAAGAAGGTCACGGCGTGTTTCACCTGAGCGACGAAAAGAAGCGTGTCCCCTGCGAGATGGCATAGCGACCAGACGTGGCGGCGGCTTACGCGGGCCGCCAGCGCGGCACGCTGCAGTGGAAATGAAGGCGCTCACGCGCGGCCTTACGTGGGCAGCTTACGCGTGAATGTCGGCGCAGTCGACCCCGTTTTTTCTACGTCGCCAGAGGCCTCCTAGACGGGGTCCGAGTACATGGGGTCGGAGGATCGCGCCGCAACGCAGATGCATCGGAGATGCATCGCGATGCATCGGCGATGCATCGGCGATGCACTGGCGACGTCGGCGATGCATCGGCGACGTCGGCGTGGAGAAAATTGGGCCCCACATCGAGCCGCATCGCCGATGCATCGCCGATGCATCGGCGATGCGGCGCGATCCTCCGACCACGTCTACTCGGACCCCAGCTAGGAGGCCTCCAGTCGCTCACCTGCTCCTGAACACCGGACTGGACGGCGCTGCGCTGGCGCTGCACCTGCTGCCCCCTGCGCGGCGCCGCCCCGCCCGACAGGGTGCTGAAGGCCTGCGGGTGCTGCCGCACGATGCGGATGATCTGCCGCTCGAGCGCGCGCTCGGTCAGGTTTACCGACAGGCCAGCGTTCTGGATCGCTATGTCTCGCCAGTAGAAGTTCTCGATGTGTGCCTCCAGCTTCTCGACGAGGCCGTCCTCGAAGTCCCGCTGATGCCGGGTCGCCGCCATCATCTTGCAGATCTCCGCCAGCTCCCGCGGGGTGTAGTCGTCCAGGTGGAGCCGGGCCGGGAAGCGGCGGGAGAGGCCCTCCTCCGCTCGCATGAGCCGCTGCATCTTGTCTTTGTACCCCGCGAGCACCACCATGAGGCTGGTGCGGTTGTTCTCGACCTCCGTGAGCATCGTGCGCAGCGCCTCCTGGGAGAAGCTGTCCCCGCTGCCCCCCACGCCCTGGGCCGAGTCCATGAGGGAGTAGGCCTCGTCCAGGAAGAGGCACCCGCCCATGGCCTCCTGGATGGCCGCCTTCACGCGCGGCGCAGTGCCGCCCAAGAACTCGGCCTTCAGCTCCAGGCCGTTCTTCTCCACGAAGCTGTCCTTCGGGAGCACGCCGTAGGTGAAGAAGAACCTCGCCAGCAGCCTGGCGAAGCTGGTCTTGCCAGTGCCAGGGTTGCCCGTGATGATGATGTTGAGGCAGACCCGCAAGTCGCTTTTCGTGCCAGTCTGCTCCACGAAGGCCACCTTCGTGCGAACCTCCTCGAACCACCTCTTTGCCTCGCTCATCCCGACGAGGTTCCGGACCTCCTCGTCTATGGCGTTCTTCTGCTCCGCGCCCTCGCCCAGCGGCGCCCCGACCTCGAAGTCTGCCGAGGTGAGCCTCTCGCTGCTGGCCGCGCCGCCGCAGTCGTCGCCCTCCTGGATGCGGTTGAAGATGCGCGTCCCGCGATTCTTTATCGCGCGCTGCAGCAGGCGGCGCGCGAGATCCAGGTTGCCACGCTCGCCGAGCTCCTTGCCGTTCGCGCCGCCGCCGTACGTCTCGTTGATGTGCTCCGCGAGCAGCGGCCCCAGCCCCTCCTCGAGCGCGAGCGCCCCGCTGGGATGCACCGAGGCACACCGCTCGATGAACTCCACGAGCTCCGGCGCAGTGTGGTCTGGGATGGCGACGTGGGTGGGGAAGCCGTTCTCCAGGCCAGGCTCGATGCGGCCGACGCGCGCCATGCCCGACGGGGTACCCACCAGGATGGCCAGCGTGGAGCCAGCGCTCTCCACGCCTCCCAGGGCGGCAGCCAGCGCCCGTAGCGGCTCTCGGGCGTCGACCAGCAGGTCGACGTCGCGCACGGCGATGCAGCCCCTCGCCGCGGATGCCAGGCGCGCCTCCAAGAGCTCGCCCGGGCTTGCGGCGCCCACGAGCTCAGCGCCCTCCACCCACACGAGCTCCTCGCGCGAGATGGTGCCGCAGGCGCGGAGGAAGCACGCCGCCAGCCGCACGAACGTCTCGCGCCCCGCGCCGGGGTTGGCGGTCACCCACAGGGCGCGCGGCAGGTCCATGGCGGCGACGGAGGGCGAGGCGCCGGCCTTGGCCTTGCCGACGAGCTGCCCCCGGAGGGTGGAGAAGAAGCAGCGCGGGGTGTTCTGCTCCTCCGGGCGTCCCCAGCCGACCAGCTTTGCCACGTCCAGCTCGACCTCGTCGAGCCGCCGCTGCCGCTGCTCCTCCGTCAGCACGTCCAGCCCGAAATCCATGGGGGTGAGCCGCCTTCGCTCGTCCGACTGCAGCTCGTCAGCGAATGTGCGGAGGTTCTTGCGGGTGATCGCCATGTCGAGCACATCCTTGGCCAGATGGCAGTTCTTTTCGCGGATGAGCTGCTCATCGAATTTCTCCCGGATGATGTGCTCAAGCACCGTGACTAGGTCTGGCGTCCCCACATCGCCCTCCCCGACGCCAGCGTAGCCCCGCTTCTCCACCTCCATGGCGATCAGATTCGCGACGTCCGTGGGACCTAGCGTCGGCAGCGACAGCCTGTCTGGCTGTCGGCGCCGAAATGCTGAGAGCTGCAGGTTAGCCTCCACAACCTCGGGCGACCCGGCCATGATGACGACGCTCTCTGCCTCCAGTATGCCCTCCAGCAGTGTGCCGTCGGCCTCCGACAAGGCACCCGTCAAGCGCAAATAGTAGCACGCTCGGTTCGCACAGCGAAGCTTCCCCGTCTTCGGATCTAAGAGGTCTCCGAGGCTGCTGAGCACGATCATGAGATCTGGCTCGGGCACCAGCTCGTCCGCCCGGTAGTTACCCTCACGACCTGACGGACCGCGCACCCGGAACGGCGCCGCGCTGCCGCCAGGAAGCTCCTCGGTGACAATGCCCACGTCGTTCTTGGTCAAGAGCGCACCCCGATTCTCCTTGTCTTGCTGGGCAGCCAGTCTCACGCGGCTGTTCACACAAACCTTCGCAGCGGTCTGGCCGCTAAGCAGCACTATGAGGCGGCTGATGAGGTCTGCTGCGTAACGCTTGCCAACGCCGAACTGGCCGCTGATAAGAATGTGGCGGTGCGTCTGCTTACCCTCCTTGAGCACATGGCGACCAGCTGCATCTCGAAGCCTCTGGACAATGAACTCCTTCACGGGCTCCAGGCCCACGGTGCGATCCAGATCCACCTTGAGCTCGGCGTAAAAGTTGACTTCCCTCGAGTCCCACAGCAGCAACCCCGCCAACCTCTCCGTGCCCTCGCTCCTGCGCGTCCGGTCCACCTCCGCAGCCTTGCGGCCCGTCTGCTCCTTGACCAGGCTCAGCTTCTGCTGCTCGACTGCCCGCCAGTTGAAGCTCAACTTCTCCTTGTCGCTGAAGCGCAGCCCCGGCGCCGCCGTGGGCGCCGTGGGCGCCGGAGCCGCCGTGGGTGCTGGCGCCGCGGCCGGCGCCGCGGGCCTGAGAGCTGCCGCGCTCGCGGCCGAGGCGGCCGCCGAGAAGGCGCCGACCCTGGGCGCCGGCGGCGGCGAGTGGGCTGGAGCAGGCGTGGCTGCCGCGGCCAGCCCAGACGCGGGAGGTGGTGTCACCAGAGCGCTGTGGCCGGGGCCGGCGCCATCGCGGAGAGACAGGAAGAACTCCTGCCCGTTGCGCAGGCCGAGCGCCTCGAGGCTCGGGAAGGCGTCTATGGACCCGAAGGCCTGGAAGGCCGGCAGCGCCTCCTCGCGCGGCTGCGGCGGGGACTTCGACTCGTCCGCGGGCCGCAGCACCTGAGCTGTCGGGTCCACCTTGTACGCCTCCTCCACAGCCTGGCCCGCCCGCGCCCCAGCGGCACGTGGGCGCACGTCATCATGCCAAGTGCCCCTTAGCTTTCTGGCCTGTAGCTCTGCAGGGGGCGGCCCCCCCTCGGCGCGCCGCGCCGGAAGAAACCGCCCACTGCCGCTTCCTCCCCAGCGCCCAATCGGGGCCAACGGACAATCATCACGCCGCCTCGTCTCTGTCAGGCGGGTGTGGTGACCGAAAGTGTGCCCGAGCATCTGCCCGAGTGTGGCCGAAACCAGCGCCCGAGCTTTTTCCGACTGCGCCAGACTGTGACCGAAACGATTGGGTCGAAACCAAGCCGATGTTCAGTTTCCGTTGCAATTTCGGGCACGTTTTCGGTCCCCGTTTTTCCGGTCGCATACTTTTTAGGCTGATAGTGTGATAGTGGCCAAGCGCTATGGCTATGCCAAGGTTGCCCAAGAGTCGCCACAAGACGACCAGAAGATGCCACAACACCGGCCCGAGACGGCCCAAGGACCTCCAGGATCTGACCGTGAGGCCCTGCGAGGCCACAAGAGGCTCCCAGCAAGCGCTCCCGCAGAACCCCAGGATGCACGCAAACAATCGAATGTCAGACGTCGGCCGTCCTGCACTTGCGGGCCCCGCGGCTTCCGAAAACCCCCACGGGCCCCGAGAAGCCCCCGCGTGAGATCGCCAGGGCAGCTCCGAGGCGACCACACCACGAACCGAGGCGCCTCACGACGGCCCCGAGGTCCCCGCCCGCGCAGCCCCAACCGAAAAATAGCTCTGGGCGTGCGTCGGCACGCTGGCGGGGCTTGCCGCAGGCAGCCGGCTAGAGGTGGAAGAGGCTCACAGACGAGGCGTCTCCCGTCAGCTCCAGTCGTCGCCGCACGTTGAGGCCGCGCACCCGCAGCACCAGCTTCGGGGCTACGGCCGCAGGCCCCTCCCGAGCAGAGCTCGAGCGCGCGCTGAAGTGCTCGCGGTCGGCCCGCGACTCTGCAATGAGGCGCTCCTTGTCCGCCTTCCTCTGGGCCAGCTCGGCCTTCTCCGCAGCCGCACGCTGCGCCTTCTCGGCCTCCGACAAGACCATCACTGCCGCTACTCGGCAGAAGGATCGGGGACCCCCCACTCTGAAGACTGTGGCAAAGGCAGCGGAGGAGGCGGAGCATCGTCAGCAGGAAGGGGAGCATCTCTTCGCCTCTTCTTGAGACATTTTTTTGATTCGCGGGTCGAGAGCGCACCTCTTCCGGTAGAAGCTAAGCGGGCCGCGCACAGCTTGAATTAACAGAAAGGGGGGCAGAAGGAGGGGCCCCACCTCAAGGCCAGGAGGGGGCAAAGCCCCGGAAACTCTTCTTGAGACATGGACCTCTCGACGCCTCTCCTTTGGGCCCGCTCTTCGTCCTGGAGCGTGTCCTGCTGGTCCCGGGGCCTGGAGCAGGCCTCCAGATCAAGACCCTTGGCGCCCCGATGTTCCCATGCGTGGGCCCCTGGGCCCTGGGCCCCCCCGCTCCTTCCCCAGTGCTCCCTTCCATCCTGTGTCAGGTCGGGCGTGTCCTCCTACAGGCGGCTTGTGGACGAGAAAAACACATGCTCAAGAAATACCCCCAAAACATGCTCAAGCATACAAAATCGTCCCCATTCGAGTGTCAGAGCCAATTTTGCAGACTCCTCGGACAGGCCCGACTTAAAGCCTGTGCCGTCCTCCCTCATGGTCCCGAAGCCCGAGGCGGGCCCCCAGAGGCCAACAAGCAGAAAGCAGAAAAACAGCCGCCCCTCGGAGAGCCCGGGCGGCGCGTAGACGGGCGGCCCGCCGACGGGGCCTCCGCTCTCGGGCGGGGGGCCCTCCCGGACCCCTTCACCGAAGGAGGAGGAGGAGGAGGAGGAGGAGGAGGAGGAGGAGGGGGAGGAGGAGGGGTAGGGGGAGGAGGAAAAGGAGGAGGAAAAGGAGGAGGAGGAGGAGGAGGAGGAGGAGGAGTAGGAGAAGGGAGGAGGAAGAGGAGGGGGAGGGGGACAGGGAAGGAGGAGGGCAGGATGCCTGGGCAGGTCGAGGGCTCAGCCTCGTGTCGAGGACTGCGGCCCCCCGCTGGTGGCGAGCCGCCCGCTGGTGGCGAGCCGCCCGCTGTCTTGGCAGGGGGCCCGCCTCTACCGCGCACCGGGCCGCTGGGCCTCCAGGCGCCCACCGGGGCCCTCCCGCAGTCCCTGCTCCTCCTCCGCCTCGCTTCTCCGCCACCTCCTCCTTCTCCGGGGCCCCTTCTCCGGGGCCCCCTCTCCACCTCCTTCTCCGCCTCGCTTCTCCGCCACCTCCCTCCCGCGGCCCCTTCTCGGGGCACTTCCCCCGGTGGAAGTGAACCGTGTAGGAGCCTACGAAGAGGGAGCTTGGAAGGAGGGTGTCCGACTCGCTGCCTCCTCCGCCCTTCTTCCTCGTGGATGGCTCCGCCCTGTCGCACCCCGAGGCCCGTCGGAAGGGCGGGCAGGACGTTTCGCCAGAGACGTCCTCACCATTATGAACCTCGAGCTCAGAATCTGGCAATCGCTTCACAGAGGGAGAGTAGGCCGCTTCCAAAATATGGCTTTTTCCGTAGCGCCGCGCAAATTCGTTTCGCACGTTCCCGAGAGTTTAACGGATTGAGGGCGGGTCGTGGTCAAAATGTGGTTCTCGCCCTAGCGCCGCGCACCTTCTGTTCTACATCGCTGCAAAAGTTGAACAGATTCAAGGCGGGTCGTTTCCAAAATGTGGTTTTCACCTGAGCGCCGCGCACATTCATCGTAAAACTTTGGAGCAGCTTCGCGGATTGAGGGCGGCTCCGTTTCAAAATGTGGTTTTCGGTTTAGCGCCGTGCACATTTCTTCGCAGAACTGCACAAGTGTTGCGGATTGAGGGCGGCCACTTTTCAAAATGTGGTTTTCGCATGAGCGGCGAGCACACTCCTTCTGACAAGTTGCAAGAGTTCCATTGGTTTTAATGTCTAACGTATCAGATATACCGTTCTGGAGCGATTCAGGATTGTCAGGACGCAGCAGTTACGTTGATGCGCGATGTTGACGTTCAGAAATAGCGTTCTGGCACGACTCAGGATCGTGAAGAGGCAACAGTCATGTTGACTCATGGCGTTGAAGTCCTGAGAATGGTGTTTGGGCACGCTTCAGAATTTTCACACGGTTGTCCCCCAACGGGGCACTTCCCCCAGTGGAAATGAACCTGTGTAGGAGCCCACGAAGAGGGAGCTTGGAAGGAGGGTGTCCGACTCGCTTCCTCCTCCACACTTCTTCCTTATGGGTGACTCCTCCTCGTCGCACCCCGAGGCCTGTCAGAGGACGACGACGGGCGACGTCGACGTCGACGACGACGACGACGACGACGACGACGACGACGACGACGACGACGACGGCGACGGTGACGTCGACGACGACGACGACGACGACGACGACGACGACGACGACGACGACGACGACGACGACGACGACGGCGGCGGCGGCGGCGGCGGCGGCGAGGACGACGAGCGACGTGGCGGCGGCGGCGACAGGTCGCGGGAGGCCGGCCGCCGCCCCCCGCCTCGGGCCGCGGGCCGGCCAGCGGCGGAGGGCCCGCCGGCCGCGCCTCCTCGTCCTGGGGGCGGTACGTAACGAGGGCGACGGCGACGAGGGCGACGGCGACGGGGGCGACGGCGAGGACGACGACGACGACGACGACCAGCGACGACGGCGGCGACGGGCGGCGGACACGACGGCGGCAACGACAACTGGCGGCGACGGCGGCGGCGACGACGGCGGCGGCGACGGCGGCGGCGACGACGACGGCGACGGCGACAGCGGCGTCGGCGACCACGACGGCGACGACGGGCGACGACGGCGGTGACGACGATGACGGCAGCGGCGGTACCGACGGCGACGGGCGGCGGCGACGACGACTGCGACGGCGACAATGGCGTCGGCGACGGGCGACGACGACGGGCGACGGCGACGTCGACGACGACGACGACGACGGCGACGACGACGACGACGACGACGACGATGACGACGACCGGCGGCGGACACGACGGCGGCGGCAGCGACGGGCGGCGGCGAAAACGACAGACGACGAAAACGACGACATGGACGACGACGACGGGCGGCGACGTTGACGATGAACGGCGGTAACGACGGCAGCGACGACGGCGACGGCGACAGCCACGGCGACGACGACGGCGACGGTGGCGTCGGCGACGGGCGACGGCGGCACTAACGACGATGATGGCGGCGACAGCGCCGACGGCGGTAACGGCGGCGACGACGAAGGCGACGAAGGCGACGGCGACAGTTGCGTCGGCGACGGGCGACGGGGACAACGACGTCGACGACGACGACGACAACGACGACAACGGCGACGACGACGATGACGACAACGACGACGACGACGACGGCAACGGCGACGACGATGACTACGGCGACGGCCGCGACGGCGACGGCGTCGGCGGAGGCGACGGCGACCACGGCGACGGCGACGGGCGACGACGGCGTCAGCGAAAACGACGGCAGCGACGACGACGACGACAACGACAACGGCGGCGACGCCGACGACGACGACGACGACGACGACGACGACGGGAACGGCTGGCGGCGAGCACGACGGCGACGGCTACGGCGACGGGCGGCGAGATCAAGGACGGCAACAAACGACGACCAGCGATGACGACGGCGACGACGACGACGACGTGCGGCGGCGACAACGACGGGCGAGGCGACGACGACGGCGACAGGGACGGCGACGTCGGCGACGGGCCACGATACCATCGGCGACGACGACGTTGGCGGCGGCGTCGGCGACGACCGGCGACGACCGGCGGCGACATCGGCGATGACGACGGCAACGACGACGACGACGACGGCGACAAGCGGCGGAGACGACGACGGCGACGGTGCAGGCGCAGGCGACGGCCGACGACGACGACGACGACGACGACAACGACGACGACGACGACGACGACGACGACGACGACGACGACGACGACGACGACGACGGCGGCGACGGCGGCGGCGACGACGGCGACGACGACGACGACGACGGCGACGGCGGGCGGCGGCTCAGCGACGATGACGACGACGGCTGCGGCGATGCCAGCGACGGGCATCGACGACCACGACGACGACAACGATGAAGACGACGACGACGACGACGGGCAGTGATGACGGCGTCGACGACGGCGGCGACGACAACGACGACTGCGACGGCGGGTGGCGCCTCCGCGACGACGACGACGATGGCGACGGGCGACGACGACCAAGAGGACGACAACGATGGCAACGGCGGTGTCGGAGACGAGCGACGACGACCACGACGTCGACGGCAACGACGGCAACGACGCCTACGACGAAGACGACGACGACGACGACAACGCCGACGCCGACAAGCGTCGACGACGGGCGACGGGCGTCGACGACGGCGGCGACGGCCAACGGCGACGACGACGGGTGGCGACAACGACGACGACGACGACAACGACGGCGACGGCGACGGGCGACGACGACGCCGGAGTCGACGACGACGCCGACAGGCCGCGACGACGGCGGCGACGACGGGCAGCGACGGATGGCAGAGACGACGACGGGGACTGCGACGGTGACGGGCGACAACGACCACAACGACGACAACGACGACGACGATGAAGACGATGACGGCGAAGACGACGGCGACGACAACGACGACGACGACTGGCAACGGCGACGACGGCAACGGCGACGGCGGCGTCGGCGACGACGACGGACGACGCCGACGCCAACGACGACGACGCCAATGACCACGACGACCAAAACGACGACGGCGACGACGACGACGACGACGAGGACAGAATCCACGACGACGGCGACGGACGGCACCGACGGCCGGCGGCGACGGCGGCGGCGGCGACGGGCTCCGACGACGACGATGACGACGAAGACGACGACGACGACGACGACGACGATGCCGACGCCGACGACGGCGGTAACGACAACGACGACGAAGGGCGGCGATGACGGCGTCTACGACGGCGGCGACGGTCGACGGCGACGACGACAGGTGGCGACAACGACGACGACGACGACAACGACGACGGCGACGGCGACGGGCGACGCCGACGCCGGAGTCGACGACAACGACGACGGCAGGCCGCGACGGGGACTG